GCAATCTTAGCTCACCGCAACCTCTGCCTCCTGGGTTTAAGCGATTCTCCTGCCTCAGCCTCCCGAGTAGCTGGGATTACAGGCATGCACCACCATGCCCAGCTAATTTTTGTATTCTTAGTAGAGATAGGGTTTCTCCATGTTGGTCAGGCTGGTCTTGAACTCCTGACCTCAGGTGATCTGCCTGCCTCTGCCTCTCAAAGTGCTGGGATTACAGGTGTGAGCCACCACACCTGGCCTGTCTATGCAGATTATTTTTTAAGTTGAGCTCCACTTCACTGTATGTACTTATATATCCATTTTTTAACTTAACATTGTAACATAAACATTGTTCATGTTGATAGACTCTTTGTAAACCTTATTTTTAATGGTTATGAAATGTTCTATCATATGGCTAAAATACAATTTATTAACCATTTCCCTATTTGAGGTCACTGTGGCTATTACCAGAGTTTTGTCAGAACTGAATTTGTTAGGGATATCTTTATAGATATAACTTTTTGTTTGTTTATTTTTTGTTTTTACCCACACATCTGTATCAGCCAGGTATTTCGGATTCTTAAAATAGATTCCTACAATTGGAAAGATACAGGTCTTGTAAGATGACCCTACAGGGCGTTAATCGAATTATATAAAAAGCAGTAGAAACTTCCAGTTGCAGAAAACTGGAAATACATGTATATAATCCACGCCTGTCCTAGAGGGACTCTCCTCATAAACAAATTCTATCTTTTTGATTTGAGAATAGGATACTAGGACATTAGATTAAGTTTGGAGACACTGAATTGTTTTTGTATATGTGTTTTTTTTAAACAGAGATAACATTTGTGCGAGCACAGAAAATTTGGGAGATAGAGTAGTAATTGTGAGACTGTGCATGGAAAACCCTGTTATTCATCCATTCTCTAAAGTCTCCACACCTTTTCAAACGTGGTGCCTTTGCTCATACTTTTCTTTTGTAAGGGGCTCATCTCTCTCAGTGCCTTTCGTTGCAGAAGTCCTACTAACCTTTCCAGGTTCAGCTGAAATGCCATTTCCTGCCTTTGAAGCTTGCCTGCTTGCTCTTCTATACTGCTAATTTAAAACTTCATTTTGTCCTCTTAGTTTTTGTTGATACCTGTCTCCCTATTAGATTGTTAAATCACAGCTGGAGCCAGGTCTTATTTATTTCTGTACCTACACAATGTGTATTGAATACAATTCTGAATGATTGAAGGGAAAAATGCTAAATAAAAATTCTGTCCAGGGAACTAACCTGTGAATGAAAATCTGCTGGTTGGCTAGGTCCCAAGGCTGGATAATTTTTCTGTATGCCACCACCATATTAGTCTTTCTAAAATTCTGGTTTCACTAATCACCTAACTGCAATGGCCCTTGATTATTCTTAGGTATAAAATGAGAGGATTAAGCTGGGTAACTCTAAGATGCCTTCTTTTAAATTTTATCCTTCTGGGTCACTAAACTAGCTCAGAAACCATCATGAGTTCAGGATTTCAACCATGTTAAAGTCAAACATCTCAGCCTGCTTCTAAGACACACTATGTTTGGTCTATAAACTCACTGTTCTCATCCTTGTATCTGAGAGTTTGTGCAATTTATTTCTTTTTTAGAACATGCTTCTCTTCTCTGTTGTGTTCCTATACATCCTTCAGAGGCCTAACACAAACTCTGAAATGCTTGAATGAAGCATTCTCTGGCCTCTTTAGCCATTTACAATGCCCCCACCTTTGCCCTGCTATGGCAGCTGTTCTATCTCTGTTCATTTTGACACTTAATCATATACTATCTTATTGTAATTTAGCATTGTCCACTCATTAGGCAACATTTCTTGAGCACTGTGATTTCTGTTTTCTGTATTTTATTTTCCCAATGAGATTATAAGCTTTTTCAAAGTTAGGAAATGTGTCACAAGCTTGTTTTTCCATTAGAAGTATTCCTCTTGGGATTATGTGCATAGCAGTTATTCAAAAAAATATTTATTGGGGATTTATTTGAATGGAATCAAATTGCATTGAATTTTTGCTGTTTGCCTCATCAGCAGCAGCATCTACTGCTAAAAGTTCTGTCATTTGAAGAGTATTGTGCTCTCCAGAGGCTACTGAGGGTAGACTGTTTTTTACCTTAGTCCTTGGACTATGTGACTTAGAGGGATTAAGACAGATGAGTGTCATAGAAGTTTTCAGGAGGTTGAAATAGACTATGAATGAGTTGGGGCTTGAGCTGGACTTCAATGCTGTAACCACTGGGACCCTACTAAGAATTGTTTTGGGGCTTTGTAATGTGAAAAATAGGGTTTCAGAAATGGTTATGAAGTGGTATGAATTGAGAGAGGAAGGGACAGGTTGTAGAACAGTCAGATTTGCAGTGATGTAGGCTGGCAGTGAGAAGAAAGCCTAGATGAGTTAAGGTGGCAGAGGGAATGGAAAGGAAGGGGGTCTGCTCTTAGACCATTTGGCTTGAATAATCTGAACTCTACCATGTACTGGTTGTGAGATGCTGGGCAAAGTTCTTAAGTCTCTTATTCCTCAGTTCCCTCATATGTCAATAGGAGTAATTATACTACCTTTTAAAGTTGTTATGAGGATTAAATGGGATAATAAAGGCGAGCATTTAGAGTAGAATCTGATACATGGTAAACTCACTGAATGATATTTGCCATAAATATTGAAGATAATGTTTCCAGTTTGCCAATCTGTACTCCTTATTTGCTCTTATAATTCTGAATTGTGGTGGTTATATTGTGTTCTTATGCACAGTTGTATCTGTTGATGACAAATGCTTCAATTCTTAAAAAAATTTGCCTTCGTACAAAAAGAGAAGTGACTAAATCCTCTCACCCTCACCTGGTGAAATGTGTTGTCCTATGAATAATGTTTGAAATGTAAGAGAAAGGTCGGCCATTGTTGTACTTTTGTATTTGGTCTCTGTTAAAATACATTCTTCAGCCTTCATTTTACCTTGTATCCTTTGTGTTAGACTGATTTGTTATGTTTCTCTCTTCTTGATTGTATACTGCTGGGTGCTAATCATCTTTAAATGGTTCATTAGCTATGATAATGGCTTTTGCTTTGTTTAATAATGAATTCTGTCAAAAGACCTCATCATACCCACTTGAACATGGTTAATTGTGCCATGTGTTTTTCACTGGTGCCCGTATAAAATTCCAGTGCATCCTTTGAAATTGTTGTAAAGCTTCATTATCTAATTGGCTGGGCTGAGGTTTCCACTGAGTTTAATACTTTGAGAATGAGGAGAACGGTCTTCTCTCATCCCTTCTTCAGAATCTCTTAGTTGCATGACGGGTTCAAATGTTTGGAGTAATAAGAACCCTCAGAATTTGCAAAATGTTTGCTCATTCCAACTTCACATTACCTAAGCTGGGAAATTATGACTAAAATATGTAGCCATTTAAAAAACCTAGTTTTCAGAACAGAGTGTCATAATATTTCTTTCTTTGATTTGTAGTGGTTGGAATTGGAAGGGGAACAAAAATGCTGACCAGTATGTTGTCAGGGTCCAAGGTAAGAATACTGGAATAGTTCTATTTTTCTTTAATCTTATTAATGACCTACATATGTTGGATTTTTATCAAATAAAAAATAAACAAACTGAGTAAACTGCATGAATATCATTCCTGAGTATTAATCTTGTCTATAAACATATCTGAGATTCAAAATACTGAGACTGAAAATTGGAAATTTTGCATTGAAAAACCAATTAGACTTAAAGAAACAATGCTACAGTATTCATCATTTAACAAAATTATGTTTAGACTTTTAAAATACCATATTTCTTAGATGATCTGGCCTTAGAGGTCATAAACTCTCTCTAGTGGAAGATTTTTTTAAACCTTGGAATTTTTATAGAAACAATACCATTTTGTAAACCATGCCCTTTTCAGCAAAAACACGCTTTGTTCAATGGTTATAAAATGTTTATTAAAGAAAAGAGTAGGGCCTCTTTAAGATGATAAAATATGTTTATCTGTGAGAGTACCCTTGAATAGATCCAAAAGCACGTTTCCAGACACTTGATAGAAGAGAGAAGCGGTTATTTGGAGGCAGGAAAGGCTGGAAAGCTGTGAACTGCTGGTAGAAGGGGTCTTTTCCATCTGTATCCTAATGAGTAATTAGGTCCTGGTTATAAGTGCTGGCACTAAGCGCCAATGAAGATGCACGTGGAAGGAAGATTAATATGCCAAGAGGTAATAAAAAATTTCATCAAGTTCCTGGACTAACCTTTTTGTTTTAAAATTCTTGCTCTAAATGTGATATAAATCGTTGATAAAATTATTTTGTCTAAATTGTTTCTTTAAAAAAGTATGTAGTCTAAGACTATTTAAAACAATTTCCAGTTCATTGCAGACTGATTGATGACTTTTGTAAAATGTAATTAAAATGTTGTGGCAATGTAAAATTGCTAAATAAGTTTCTATGCAACCTCATTTTCCAAACTTAATCTCATTATAGATACTGGCCTGTGGAAAACACTTGACATAGCAGTGGTTTAAGTAAACTTTTATTAAAATAAAAGCCCTGGCCAAGTGCGGTGGCTCATTCCTGTAATCCTAGCACTTTGGAAGGCTGAGGCGGGCAGCTTACTTGAGGTCAGGAGTTCAAGACCAGCCTGGCCAACATGGTGAAACCTTTCTCTACTACAAATACAAAAAAAAAAAATTGGCAGGCGTGGTGATATATGCCTTTAATACCAGCTGCTCTGGAGGCTGAGGCAGGAGAATCGCTTGAACCCAGGAGGTGAAGGTTGCACTGAGCCAAGATCACACCACTGCACTCCAGCATGGGTTATAGAGGGACACTCCATCTCAATAAATAAGTAACAAGATAGATAGGTAGGTAGGTAGATAGATAGATAATAAGATAGATGGGTAGGTAGATAGATAGATAATATAGATAAGTAGATTGATTGATTGATTGATTTTAAAAAGCTCTGGAGAACGTATTATATGTGATATCCCATTTTGCTTATCAACTGGCATGGCATAAATATCTGTGCCATTCAGTTGGAAGGAATCTTAGTGCCTCTGATAAATGAAAAACTTCAATGTGGCTTGCTCTGTAATCTTCAAAATGTTGGTATTGAAAAATTACTTCGAAATGTTGGTGTTGAAAAATTACAGAGTGTAAAAATTGCATTAGAATGAAGGAGTTTGACAGTTTCTCAGTGAATTTGTACATTGTGCTTAAATACTGACACACAGAGCTTGGAATTTGTTTCTGATAGTGGTTTTTGCCAGTTGTTTAATATTTGTGAACTCTAAAAGAACAATGTTTACTTTAATATGGGATTATGGATGATTTTTATTTTTTTCACATTATTTGGTGAAATCTTTACAATAAACAAATCACTTTTATGTTAATATAAAAAAGATATGTTTACATTAAGGAATTTGTTTGGGTTTTTTTCCCTAGATAAAATATGTTGAGTTCATTGAGATATTCTTTGTTCACCCCTCCTCCCCAAACCACAAACACAGCACATTACATATTATTGAAAGATTTTACTTGTAAATTCCAGACGTATTTTCAGAAATATTATGACTGAAAATGTAAATTCATCGTTGACTCTGGTGTAAATTTTGTCACAGCCCATTTTGCTGTTCAGCTACGAAACCTGAATGTCTCACCATGAAATCACTGATCCTCAGGTGACTGTAACATAAATAGAATACAACAGGCACATTTTGTTATAGAAACCTAGTTCTTAGGTATTTCATATTTCAAAAATAGGCATCATTGTCTTGTTAGCTACTTATATTTCTTATCCTTTTAATTTTATGTACATGTTAAAAGAACTAAATCATTAAGAGTTTAATGTTTAAGTGTTTTTTTAAATAAAAAGTAGTTTAAACTGTTAATACATATTTTTGTTAGTTTTTTTAAAAAGCACTAGAAGGAATCTTAGATATCTTGTTATCTAGTGACTTTCAAAATTTTTTTGACAAAGACCCATAGTAAGAGACTTATTTTATGTCATGACCCTATAGACACATACATTTATGAAAAGGCAACATTTTATCAAACAACTTTGTGTTAGTCTGTGTTGCTGTAAAGGAATGGTCGAGGCTGGGTAATTTGTAAAGAAAAGAGGTTTATTTGGCTCATGGTTCTGTAGTCTATATAAGAAATACGGTGCTGGTATCTGCTTCTGGTGAGGGCCTCAGGAAGCTTACAGTTGTGGCCATGTCACATGGTGAGAGAGGGAGTGAGAGAGAGAGAGGCAGAGGTGCCAGCCTCTTTTAAACAGCCAGATCTCTCATGAACTCATTACTGCAGGGAGGACACCAAGCCATTCATGAGGGATCTGCCTTCATAACCCAGAAAATTCCCACTATGCCCCACCTACAACACTGGGGATTACATTTCAACATGAGATTTGGAGGGGACAGACACCCAAACTTTATCCAACTCTACCCCTGTATATGATGTATTCTTGGTATTTTTCCTTTTATTTCATTTAATAAAAAAAATGGTGACTGCAGCCTCCTAACTTGGCCCAGATCTAATGTCCACTTTTTCTTCACTTCCTCTTTGGCAGATGAATTTTTATTTGCATCACAGTGCAACTAGAAAGATTAGACTTTGGTATGTGTAGGATGGAGTTACATGAAGAAATATTTAGTTCTAGGATGGCAGATATTCAGTGTTCTTGTTACAGCCATGTTATAGTACACTCTTCTCTCCCTAGCCAGGCCTAATTGGCGATATTGCTAATTGAACATGGCCTGACATTTCTTCTTGCTGAATCAAGAAACATCCTTAGAATATTTTTCAACATAGTGCTATTTCATACAACTACTGTCACTTACCAGGTGAAATTCTGACCTTTTTGTTTGAGAAAGAGTGTTGCACTGCCACCTGGGTTAGAGTGCAGTGGCACAATCTTGGCTCACTGCAACTACCTCCTGGGTTCAAGTGATTCTCCTGCCTCAGCCTCCCAAGTAGTTGAGATTACAGTGCCCATCACCATGCCCAGCCAATTTTTTGTATTTTTATAGAGATGGGGTTTCACCATGTTGGCCAGGCTGGTCTTGAACTCCTGACCTCGTGATTCGCCTCCCTCGGCCTCCCAGAGTGTTGAGATTACAGGTGTGAACCACTGTGCCCAGCCAATACCGGTGTTTTAAATAAAATCTTTAGGCCATCATATTATTTTGTTTCCATCTATGAAGACTAGACACTAATCAGACCACCCAAATCATTTCTTGCATTTCCTCCCATTCAGATCAGGGTAAGAGTTAAGAAAAGAGCCACTATCCTGTATTCCTCATTGTCTTCCTCTCCTCCCTTGGAGTGAGCTTTGTTCTGCCATTGATCATGTTTATCAAGCCTTTTTTTTTGTTTGTTTGTTTTCCACTGCCTGCTCATTTAGGATTATGTGTATAATGTGTATGAAAAGCATGTGAGCTTTTTGTACAGTGCCTTGTGTACAGAAATTGCTCATTAAGTACTGTTACTACTGTTCCCAAGTATTTCATCTATCCCCAAATCTCTCTTTCAATGTTGGAGCTTTCTAGCCACATGTTCTGTAGACACCTGAAATTAATTTTACTCAGACAAGTTCTCTTGGAACTCTTGAATAGAGTTAACTTCAATTTTTTTTCATTGCTATCTGTGATTGCTGGTGATGTAGGCAAAATATTGCACTCATCAGAAAAAGAAAGCATTCCAGTTCTTTAAGGGAGAGACAAACTTTCCTTAGATATTAAAGTCAGAAATAACTTCCTGACAATAATGGATATTAAATGACAGATAGATGGTCATTTTCAAAAATAGCTTTACAACAGATGCAGAAATGGAGCTACATAAAATACAGCTTAGGTTAAATGATTCTGAGAGGTTAGGCTGATGTGTTCCTTTGGCCTAAGTTGATCTAATTATAAAATGTAGCTTACCTAGAGTATAAAATGTAGCTTACCTAGAGTATAAAATGTAGCTTACCTAGAGGAGGGCAATAGTCTCGTTCCTGCTTTCCCTAAATTACACTTTCTTTGAGGCAGTCATTCAGCAAAAGCTGGATAGCAGATGTTGTGCTTTGAAGGAACAGATTTTGATGAGGTTTTGAGGTTTTGGAGTGCTATCTCTTTTTTTTTTTTGAAATGGAGTTTCGCTCTTGTTGCCCAGGGTGGAGTATGATGGTGCGATCTGGGCTCACCACAACCTCTGCTTCCAGGGTTCAAACAATTCTCCTGGCTCAGCCTCCCAAGTAGCTGGAATTACAGGCATGCGCCACCACGCCTGAATAAATTTGTATTTTTAGTAGAGTCGGGGGTTTCTCCATGTTGGTAAGGCTGGTCTTGAACTCCTGACCTCGGGTGATCTGCCTGCCTCAGTCATGAGCCACCGCACCTGGCTTGGAGTGCTATCTTTATTAGTTTTCTATATTGTTGATCAAAGTTGGTTACTTTATAAATGCTTTAGAAACCAGATGGAAAGGTTATGAAAACCTGAAGAATCTAACTAGCATGTCCAAATATAAAGATACCTCCATATTTCTGTGCAGG